GACCCAAGCACAATAGTGATATTGTGTTTTGTAAGAAGTAACCAGAGCAAAATGTAACATTGTGTTTTGTAAGAAGTGACCTGAGCAAAATGTAACAGTGTGTTTTGTAAGAAGTGACCCAGACACAATAGTGATATTGTGTTTTGTAAGAAGTGACCCAAGCACAATAGTGATATTGTGTTTTGTAAGAAGTAACCAGAGTAAAATGTAACATTGTGTTTGTAAGAAGTGACCCAAGCACAATAGTGATATTGTGTTTTGTAAGAAGTGACCCAAGCACAATAGTGATATTGTGTTTTGTAAGAAGTGACCTGAGCAAAATGTAACAGTGTGTTTTGTAAGAAGTGACCTGAGCAAAATGTAACATTGTGTTTTGTAAGAAGTGATACGAGCACAATAATGATATTGTGTTTTGTACAAAGTAACCAGAGCAAAATGTAACAATGTGTTTTGTAAGAAGTGATTGAGCAAAATTGTGATTTTTAAGTTGTGTTGTGATATTACCAGTGCACATTTTAAACAGACGTAACACAAGAACTTAGAAAAAAATCATGGTGGCGCACATTATATGTATCATCCTGTAGATAAAAACTTAAAATATATATATAATTTTTATGCAAATACAGATATACTGCCTTTACTGTTACCAGTTTCTTTGGTTGCTCAAAGCTTTTACCATAAAATACATGTTTTTTCTAATTTGAGTATGGTTTTGAAGTATAATGGTGTGTAATGCCAAACTTGACAATGCATATAAAGTGAATGGACAATAAATGTATTATTACATCACAAGAAAGTTTGCAAAAATTAAATCATATTATTATCATTATAATCTATCACATAGTAATGAATCACCACCAATATTAATTACCAAGCACTAAGTAATTCTATCTTACTATTCATTCTTCACCAACTTACATATTGTGACAAAAATGCTTATTCTCTAATTGTCTGGCCTAAATATATATAAAGTATCAACTGTTAACATTTAAATTTAACCTACAACTTACCAAAGACAGGCTCATTAGGACAGCCCTTCAGTCTAACACCTTTAGATGTTGGCTCTATCAGAAAGTGTCGTACCAGTTCGTTTGAGCTGTCCCCTATAAATTGGGAAAACAAAGCATTGAATTTATGTTGATTTTTCAAAAGCACGTCAAGTATAAATTAAACTTACAAACAAAGGTTACATTTATTCCACAAGTTATTCTAATATAGAAACAAACTCAAATATTTAATAAGTAAAAACAAGTTATGAAAATTTAAGATATAATGATTAGTTCCGATATTATAATAACAATCTATTCATGACTTGTTTTCTTACATTAGAATTACTATGCTACCTTTGATCTTTTAAGCTTTAATATAATTTTAAGAAACTTTACGAATTGTACAAAAAAAAAAATGTTCAGTGTGATATTATTTGGTTACCCTTACTGTTTTATAGCTGCCTGGATATAAAGTAGATTACATTAATTTCAATTTTTATTGCTAATTATCAATGAGAAATTGGAAATACAAAAGACATACTGTTAAAAGGATATATAAAGTGGGTACATGTATATTTACATTATTAACAAGAGGGAATCCTTAATAGCCACAGCACGTGAAATTTTTTTAGGCAGGATTAGAGTAAATTAATAAATGACACCTTTTTTCCTTTTTATTAGCTATATTTTTATGTACCAGCAATACCAAGCATGGGACGTGAGTATACCCAATTTAATTTTATTACTCATCAGGATCTCTACCAGCCTACCCTCAAATTGAAATTCTTTTAGGCAGGATTAGAGTTCATTAATCTACGAGACCTTGGACGTGGTCAAATACATCAATATAAAGGGTTTGGCCTCCTGAGTCCAAAACTGTAATTAGATCACAAATTGGTCAAGAGATGATGGAGCTCTGAGCTAAAATTTTGTACTTGAAAAACTCAGAGCCATTCCAGGAGCCGCTATGCTGTGGCCAAAAATACAATCAAATCCACTTACTTCAGTCTTGATTTAAATATTATAAAACCTAGTCTAATGAACATATGTAATTCTTTAATTATAACCTAAATGCTCTTCTAAAATAAGTCCACATTTGGTAAATAGAGATCCAGACTAACACCTCCTTATGCAGGTATATTGACTTAACACCTATTCAAGACAAACGCACAGGACGCATATTATACCTGGTCTAGTGGTTAGGGTGCGTGACTCATAATCTGTGGATTACAGGATTCGAACATGCTGGCTTTTTCAAGCATGAAGGAGTTGTAATGTTACAATCAATCCCACTATTTGTTGGTAAAAAGTAGCCCAAGAGTTGTTTGTGGATAATGTTGGCTAGCAGCCTTCCCTCTAGTCTATCAGTGAAACTTAGGGATAGATAGTGCAGATACCCTTTGAGTAGCTTTGCACGAGTTTTAAACAAACAAACACACACACAATAAATATTGGAATACATCTAGAAAAGTCAGAATTTTGAAAAAGGTTTCCTTTGGCAGTCAAAATATTGGGCTGCTTTTCTTTAATTTTAATATCTTTTGGTTTGTATGTTTTTAAATAATTTCAGCTTAATAAATAAAGTAGTTCTTGATATTTAGATTTTAATTAAATGCATTAAAGTCAACATTATTTTAATAGGACAGGATACCCAGTAGTGTCTGCTATTGCCGACACTACTAATAATAAAGGTTAAATTCACAAATTTACAGGCTGAAATTGACCAAAATACAAGTTATTCATAGCAAAATCTCTGTTAAAGCGGTGCTATGATATAACTGATTAAGACCTATAAAACCAAATATGGGTATATATTTCAAATATAATTGCTTCACACCTTCTACCCAACAATTTAGATAATTGACAGTATTCATATGTCACTGGCCACAATAAGTGCTTCATGGCACGTGTATGAGAGCTACAATTAAAAACTGTAACAATCTAGGTACTGACAGTATTCACGCGTCACTGGCCACAATGAACGCTTCATGGAACATGTATGACAGCTACAACTAAGAATTGTAACAATTTAGGTAACTGACAGTATTCATCTGTCACTGGCTACAATAAGTGCTTCAGGGCACGTGTATGACAGCTACAACTAAGAACTGTAATAATCTAGGTAACTGACAGTATTCACGCGTCACTGGCCACAATGAGTGCTTCAGGGCACGTGTATGACAGCTACAACTAAGAACTGTAACAATCTAGGTAACTGACAGTATTCACGCGTCACTGGCACGTGTATGACAGCTATGATTAAGGATTGGAATTTACATTTTAAATGAGGAACAAAAAAAATTCTATTTCTGTAAATATACATTTTATCAGACAAATACTAAGTAAAAACAAGCTTTTATGGGCAATTACTGGCTCTTTGAGCAATTATACATGTTTTAAAGATTAAATTTCTGAAGAACAGGTTTTAAGGGTTTTCTTGGAGGATTACAAAAATAAAAACATGCATACTTATGTAACTGCTTGAAGAACATACCTGATTTGTTTTGAACATTTGGTGGGGGTATTGCCACTTTCAGAGCAAGACCAAAGGCTCCAGGGAAAGAATTACTGTCTCGCACCACAAAAGTACCAGGAGGCTTGTCTTTCAATATGTTGATAGCTACAGAAATAACATATATATATATATATAAATACAAAGTACAAGCAGGTTGAAATTTCAATATACATATAGCTATTGTTATAAATTTCAAAATAAAAACATGTACTAGTAATGAATTTGAAACTTGGTTTTTTAGTAACTCTCATATAACTTGTACATGTATTCTTCAGAACTTATGTGTTTAAGTTGTTTTTTTTTTCTATTTCAGCACCTTAATTGAGAGTAGTAACTGGTACTTGCATTAAAAATGATATGGAAAGAAAACTATGTAATACAATTACCCTATAAAACATCAGATTTTTTATTATTAAATGTCAGTATTAAAAGATATGAAGATTCTCTGTGGGTTAGATATACTGACAGTCATATAAATTACAACTTTTTTACAAGAATATTATGATAAACATAAATTTCAGTTGTCAGGAAAGTAGGCGTTTTCTTCTCCCCAAAAAGGCCAAATAAAAATAAATATTAATTTTTAAGGCTAGTAAGTGCTGTAAATAGAATTTGGCTTGAATTCTTTGTTTCTACGCTATACAAATTCTGCATTTTGATGGTATATATATAATTTCAATAAAGAACTATCTTCGTATTTTATGTCAACAGAAAAAAAATACTTATTTTCATATATATGTTACCTCAAATTAAATATCAATGCCAGCGTTAATGTAAAGGAACAGTAAATAATTCATAAAACTTTTAACAATATTGCTTTATATAAGTTTGTTTTCAATTTTGAGCAAAGCTACACAATGGCTATCTGCGCTAGCCGTCCCTAATTTAACTGTGTAAGACTAGAGGGAAGGCAGCTAGTCATCACCACCCACCGCCAACTCTTGGGCTACTCTTTTACCAACGAATAGTGGGATTGACTGTCACATTATGATGCCCCTACGGCTGAAACGGTGAGCATGTTTGATGGGACGGGGATTCGAACCCGCGTCCCACAGATTGCGAGTCGAACTCCCTAACCACCTGGCCATGCCGGGCCTGCTTTATATAAATGCATTCTGACTGTTGAACTAAATTCATACGATGTTATTTGAATTATTTCTGCACCTTAATTAACATGTACTGATATGTGTCTTTTAATTAGGAATAAGGACACTTACCTTCTTCTCTACTGATGTTTGGCTTGTACCAAAATTTTGATGTATCCTTTACGAAGACTGGATGGTGAGTAATAACTTCTGAGGGTTCTGGGTAAAGCAAAATATGAATTAATGCAAATATTTCATACGATCAGAGATCTTTACTAACCTTATAACTATTTCTTATTTACTAAATAAAAATGTATAGTTTCTGTAAATGAAGATATTACGTTCTAAGCTGAAAGATCCAATCTAAGTAATGATTTTTTGTTACACTCTCCATGCAACTGATTCCGCAAAATGCCCTACACAGTAGATTGAAAGTGTTAACTACTGAGGGAAACTTTCTGTATGTTTAGTAACTTTAGCAACTATGTAAGATATAGAAAACAAGAAAAAGGCTGTTCATAGACATTAATTTATTTACTGTATATTTCATTATATAAAATATAATAATTTCTCATTGGAATATATATATATTCTATAGAATAGCTACAATAAAAATATTTAAACCTGATCTTTCACCTTACTCATAAACAGACTCAAAACAAACAAAAAAGCAATCCCAATTAACTGTTTTCCCGAATACTGAGGTTACAGCTGGAAAAGTACCTGTCAGAGATAACATGCTGGATCGACGAGATTGCCCAAAATACACTGTTGGTGAACTCTGTCCATTAGCAGAGTGAGGGCCAGTGCCAGGCTGAACATTAACTAAGTCTTGTCGTAGGGTTTGGAAAGTCGCAGGAGATGGGCTTCTATCTTTGCTGGATAAACATTTAATGTATAAATTGTAAGAAAATAGACATAACTATATGTCTTTCTATTAAAAACTTTAAGGGATACAGCAACATGGCTTTGGAATTAATACTTTTGTAATTATATTTTCAAAATTGTTACTAAACATTCTCAATAAAAAAGTTCAAAAATTTTAGATTCTAAATTTTAATATAATGGGTATAAAGATTTAAAAGCATGTTTAATAAGTGTTGTTCAAAACCAATACATAAACACTGGTGTGTACTAAACATGTGTGATATTTTATTAAAGAACCAAACCTTACTGCTGAGTGACTAAGAAGAAAATGAAATATGAAACCACCTGGAAATAATCCCTACCAGGGATTATTGGTACATGTACTGGTTGATGAGAATAAATTAAAAGAAGAAAGAGGAAGAACCAAAAAAAAACTCAAACATTTCAAGATTTTGATACAAACTAAATAATAGTTCACAAATTCTAAACAAAATTTCATAATAATTCATGATAATTGAAGTCATTAGATTAAAAAATAAAATTTGTCTTGTTTGTAATTAAGCACAAAGCCACATAATGGACTATCTGTACTCTGCCTACCATGGGTAATAAAACCCAGTTTCTAGCATCGTAAGTCTGCAGACATACCACTGTACTACTGGGGGGCAAAAAAATTAAAACTTCATTGCTCCAAGTATTAACTACTGGTGGAAATATTTGTCAAAATGTTTTGTTCATTTGAATAATTTTTAAAACTCCCTGTGTTGGCAGAATTCTATTTCTAATAACTAAATGTTGACTAGAATCTGTTTACTCAGCAAATGTGAATAATTTATCACTTCAGTAAATGAAAGTTAATAGTGAAGGTAAAGGGTTAACCAGGCTGGATGTGACTTTTGTGATAAAGCACTTCAACTATTACTTGGAGATCCCGAGTTTAAATATTAGTCTTGTAATAGGTTTTGACAGTTAAGTAAAATTATTATTAGTTGGTAAACAATCTTAAATTCATACCTGTAACTAACAGCAGAACCTGAGGACCATCTCCTCAGTGGAGTTAAGAAAGAATATTCAGATTGAAATCCTCCTGCCCTTTGGATAGGTCTTAAGAAGGTAACACATGCAAGGAGAGGGAGGTTAAGCAGTTGATTTGTTAGTAGACGAAAGAGACTTGTAGGAAGGTAATTGTACATATTAAATGTTCAAGTAAAACAGTTTTTTTGTAATTCACAATATTAAGCCAAAAAGTGATGAGAATAACTTGTTCACATGTACCAGTGATAATCAAATAATAAAAGACTCAATGAACAGATTAGCTGGGTGTTTACAGCAATAGATGTCATTTCTAAATAAAGGAAATGCCCCTGTTAACAGATACAGCATTCTGATGTTAATTTTGTTTAGCAAAGGTGAATCTGAAGCATGAAAAACCAGCACAATAATTCAATAATGGTATACTAACATAAGAACATAACACAAAATTATTTAAGCTTGTCACAAAGCACATAGTTTAAGAGCAAGAGGATGTAAAGGTTCAATTAAACCTTGAAACATGAAACTGTCACATAATATGTAATATACTTTTGGAAAAATGGTAATTTCTCACCGGGATAAAGTTGGACTTTTGGGTGGAAGGCCTGCACCTGGTGAAGGAGATTCTGAAGAAAAGACCATTTTAATGTATCAACTGCTGCTATTAGATGTAGTTTACATTTATAATTACAGTTCTTGACTTTTCATGCACGAAATACAATTCAACTTGTGCTCAATGCATTATATTGTACGGAAATTACAATATTTTTACTGAATATAATCAAAAACCCACATAAAAACAAAACATGAAAGGGAAAACATTTAACAATTTATAGTATTAAACATAGAAAAATGTTTAAAAGAAGTATTCAAAATTGAGGTTAAGTTAAATTGGCATTCCTGGGTCACAAGTTAATGGAAGTAATCTATTAGCTGTACTTAATAAAATGACACAAAGAATACGTTTATGTTGGTGTGGCTTATTTAAATGACAGATAAGATAAACATTAACTCTCCTTTATACATTAACCTACAACTTCAGAGTCAAAGCTTTTGGTTGAGCTAGTCAAACTAGTGTTGAATTAGTTTTTTCTTTCCATCTAATTAAACTTTCCTATAAATTATTTCTGCTAAACGTAATGTTAAGACATTTTTTATATTCAATCATATATTTAGTATTAATATAAATATACATTATAGACTCTATATAAATAGTTTTATATCCTGTAGCTTTAATTTAAGGAAACTGAAATGGCAACACAAGGTCAACAAGATTATTTTTTATTTTTACTAGTTGCATCCATAATTATGTGTTACAGATACGTAACATATATATAACTGTTGATTTCACGATGTTTCTCATCTGGTTCTTTTTCTCAACTTTGTTTTTAATTAGTTGGCTTTTATGTGTCAAAAATGAATAAATGTATGGAGAAATAAAGTGAATTTTAGTCAAGGATTATTTCAAAAATCTTACATTCTTTATTTAAACAGTGATACCTGTGTAAAGTCTGAAACCCACAGGTGAGATGAGATTCAACACTTACTTACTTACCAGACAGGCCAGAAGTGCATTATCTACCAATTAAACCACACATACATATATATACAGAATATATTTTGTACAGGAAGTTTTTATTCGTATTTTCAAGGTATCAAGATGGTAATTTTGATAATTTATAATTATGTTTTATAGATTGAATCAATATATCAACTACTGCACAATCAATTAGTTCACTTCTGTGTAACACAAAAATCCATTCTTTTACTAAAGAAGCAAATCATAATATCAATAAAAAGAAGAACAAACATAATCAAATTTTAGATGCAAAAGCAGTTTGGTCTGAAGGTTGGCCAGACAAACATTTTGGGCTTAATGTATCATGATTATCAAAAACTGTAATTAGATGGTGTCAGTGGGGTGGTTTTTATGCAAATATTCAATTACATAAATGAATGCTATCATTTAATAAGAGAAATAATTAATTCATTACTTTACAATACAAAAAAAAAGAGTAATGTTTGACTAAAACGTTTTATAAGTGCAAAACCACAATTACAGTAAAGTAATAATAATAATAAAAAAACAACAACTATACAATTGCTTGAAACTAGAAGATGAGGAATCCCACAAGAACAAGAACATAAAAAAAGACTGTATCAATTGTCTCAAAATGGAGCAGTGTGAATGAGATTACATCAAACTGCCAGAACAGGACAAAAGAAACAATCAGGGCCTAATTGTACTGAGAAAAAAGGGAAGGGAGAGAGATTAGAAACAACATCAATCACCTTCCTAACCAGCCCAAGTCTTAGGGAGGAAGGAAGAATCTTGGAATAAAATCAATTTGTCCCCTGATGTAAAGAATGTGGGAGCCATCCAAGGCAAAAATATAAGAGTACTGTCTCATGTAAGCAAGAAAGAAGAAGAAAATATGTCTAATAGAAAGATGGTACAGGAAATGTATTCAAAAGTTTAAATGATGAACATTTAAGAGTCCCGAGAACTAAAGATGTTAGGAAGATAACTGATCAGAAGAGACCAGTCTGTAAGAAACAGAAAAGGAAATGGAGAATAACAAGGGAAAAAGATGGAAGGTTGTCGACAAAGCTGCTCTGTAAACAGCAATTGCAGAAACTGATAAACTGCCTTCAAAAGGCCAAGAAGAAAAAGAAATAAGGTAAGGAAGAGTCGGTTAACCTGAATGAAGGGAGTGGTGAATGGGCAAACATTGATAAACACTGCAAGTGGATGATTGGTAAATGCAAGCAAGAAAACATGGTATATTGTGAGAAATACAGGTTTTGAAAAGTGACATGTGAAGATGATGGTGTGGAATATTGTGGTGAAAGATGGATATCTGAAAATGATGTAAAAAGGATTTCCATGAGGAAAGAGATTGAGGCTCTTGGATTGCTAAGAGGTGAAAGAGCATAAACCATGAATAAGCTGACTAAAGAGGAACAATGATAAGTACCTGGAAAGGGGTGCTGTGAATTAAAATGAATAATAGTTTTTGAAAAATTTTTTAACACTAATATTTAGTGATATTTCATAAACAGATGTTAATGATCAATAATTATGAAAATACAGTTTGTAGTCAAAACAGTCTATATTCTATATTTTCAAGTTTGATTACAGAAAATAATGGTTTAAATGACATTTATATTTGTCCTGACCTAATATTTTGTATGATTATTATATATTTATCTACATACCATAAATTCAACTTTTTTTCATTTTATACTATTACAATGATAAATCTATACACAGTTACTAAAAGCATTAAATTTGCTTTGATTTAGATCAAAATGCCTTCTTTTAATTCTGAAATAATTATACATATTTTAATATTATATTGAAATTTGTAATGAGTTCCAACCTTGGTTAGCATAAGGAGTCCTGGTTCCAACGGGAAAAGATGGAGTAGCTGGACGATCTCCAATCCTTGTAGGACTTTCTGGGGGACTTGAACTGATCACTGAGGGGGACCAGGTAGGAGGACCTTCAACAATACTTCCAGTCTACAATCAAACATATCTCATTAGATGTTGAACTGGGCTCCAATCTACAATCAAACATATCTCATTAAATGTTCAACTGGGCTCCAGTCTACAATCAAACATATCTCATTAAATGTTCAACTGGGCTCCAGTCTACAATCAAACATATCTCATTAGATGTTGAACTGGGCTCCAGTCTACAATGAAACATATCTCATTAAATGTTCAACTGGGCTCCAGTCTACAATGAAACATATCTCATTAGATGTTCAACTGGGCTCCAGTCTACAATCAAACATATCTAATTAGATGTTGAACTGGGTTCCAGTCTACAATCAAACGTGTCTCATTAGATGTTCAACTGGGCTCCAGTCTACAATGAAACATATCTCATTAGATGTTCAACTGGGCTCCAGTCTACAATCAAACATATCTCATTAGATGTTCAACTGGGTTCCAGTCTACAATCAAACGTGTCTCATTAGATGTTCAACTGGGCTCCAGTCTACAATCAAACATATCTCATTAGATGTTCAACTGGGCTCCAGTCTACAATCAAACGTGTCTCATTAGATGTTGAACTGGGTTCCAGTCTACAATCAAA